ATTTTTTCATAATGATTTAAAGTAAGGAATGGCTATTAAAATTTATGACTGGCAGAAAGACTGTGAAACATTCTGCATAAAATGCATATCTGAATAATTATACCTTATATTTGTTAAGTGCGTCGTGTATATCCATCTTTTCTGCATTTACTGAAACCATTTCTATTGGAGGTCCACCAGGGTGAGATGACCGCTGCATTGCTGAAAGCGAGCGCTTCATCGCCGCCGAGAATTTCAAACGATGGGACGGAGTAGACGTTTCAGCATCTTCAATCATTCACATTTCATTTCAACTAAACATGATGCATCTGAAGGAAAGCAAAACATTCAAGATCGAAAACTAAAGGTAAAAACCAGACGATGAAACTCGCATTCTTCTACAGTTCAGTTTTATTCATGCAATACTTACTAGCAGGCTCCGACACGTCTCCCACCACTGACTTCTGACGTTTCGGCAAAGTAGTCTTGTTTCGCCGTGTAATCATATTAATGATACTTTGCCGCTTTTTTACAGCTGAGGTTTTCCCCTTAGGACTTCCAAGGGGGCTTTTTGATGATTCAGATTCTTTCGGTGTAACTTCCTCATGGTCTTCCAAGCCAATAGGAGAAAATGTTGACGAAGCCATTGCAAGAGCCCGAAGACCATGTGTCTGAATGCGGTAAATATGAAAAATGCTTATGCTTATCAATCTCCGAAACCGAATGGCTTTCAGACCAACATCCATTTGAATGAAATGTTTTCAGAGAACAGCCTGATAATTCTGAGTCGAGAAAGTTTTTTAATATTGTTTGAATGTAGATACAGACAAGTAAGAACAACAAATCATAAAATTACCACAGAAAAATCATTCGTAGCAGTCAAAACATGAGTACCGCTGTACTTCACCGAACCTAAATCTACCAACTTATGCCTGCAGTCATCCCATCGCCCATAGCACAAATCTACTCCTCCAACAAAGGCTATAAGCTGGTCAACAATTAATAACTTTTCATGATGTGCCCAAAAAAAAGTGCCCGAAGCTAGATAATGATCTGGGTGACGTAAAACCTAAAAAATAATTCAAAAATTTCAAAACTCTGCTCTAGAACTGAAAAAAGAGACTATAGACTACACTGCCACCTCTGAACTCAAACTAATTTATTAAAAAGCTCTCTGGTACCTTATATAAGAGTTCAAAATATAACCTTGATGTTTGGATGGAGGCCTTGAAGAGTTTTTTTCGAGTAGACGCTATTAATGCCAAGAGCCATCTCCATTTCCTTATATAATAAAATAAATATTCGAACCCCCTGATTTGCTTTCCTCTAAAGGACAATACAGTAGCACAGTAATACCAAAAGTTCTAAAATAGAAAAGCTATGCAAAAATCGCACTTTCAATATTTCATCTAATCTCCAACGGTTCCCCTCAGTAAGCGGCCTTTTCATATAAATTTCTGGTGAGAGCCACCAATCTGCAATAAAAATTTCTTCACGAGCTAATTCCATCATGTTTGCAGCATGTTCCATATACTCTCTACCGTCCACAAACCTAAGAAAAAAATTGATTGAAATTTACAAATATTAATCGTTAATAGTCGACGAGTACTGAAAGTGACATACCACTGCACAGACTGAGATTTACGAACCGGAAAAGACGAAGCATATGGATGCTGTGCTTTCCAAATACTTCCTACTCCATTAATCGAATCATATATAGCCGTTTTCCACTTGAATGCATCCAAAGGTGTAGCACATTTAAGAGCAAGTTTACTAGAAATTAGCATATCAGTATAAGACTCCATCTGCGAGTTTTGTAACACAGCTATTAAAAAATCTAATAAACAGTAAGTTCCAAAATTGTAAGAAATACTGTTGCTGATTTGTTATAACCAGGCCACTGGGTATTCCTTCAGTTTCATCAGATCCTGCTGAGACTTCGAAGTCATTGTCAAAAAGCAAAACAAATCTAAGCACTTCACTACCGGGATCCATATAACATACAAAAGTATCCTACAAAAAACTCAAGTAATTGTTCAGCAAACCTTAATTATTCTCAGAAAACTTCTGAACTAATAGTGTGGAAAATTTGCAGAAATATGGCAAAATTTACGTCAAAAAATTTCGTTTAAAAACGAAACAAGCATAGAAGCAAAGATACCTTCAAAATTAACCAACGCCTAGACCAAGGGACCAGATGCCTAACACAGAACTGTTTACAACCGATAAAAACACGATTACCTCCGGGACGTTTTTTAACCATGCCCTCTGCATATTTGCCGCCCAATTCATTAACAAAAGAAAATCTTGAAACTTCAAGAAATTCAGCCTTAAAATTCTTTTATAAAACACTAGCGTATTTTACCTAACCTAGAATGAGCATAAGAGAAAAACCCACAGTCTCATGGTGATTCCTATTAACGGGGATGTGAAGAACCGCTTGCAACCAAGCTTCCAGCTCGTCCTTAAATATATTCAAAATCAACTGATCAAAAAAATTAAAAAGAGTACTGAGTTTTAAGTTTATTAAAAACGTATGAGGAAAGCAGGAAATGAACCGAGCCAAAGTCTTGTAGATGATTCATTTAACGAAACTTCCAACAAAAAACTTAAGAAGTTTTGAGAAAAGTCACCACTTCTTCTAATAATATATAAAACAAACTTTTCTGGATTTCCGGTCAGCTATGGAATCAGGGACTATCCTTAAAGTCGGCAAGTGATGACCGCGAGCACTGTTAGATTTCTTCAATGGCCTGCTTGTTGGAATTTCCTCCTCTAAACCTTAAAAAACAGAATTAAGAAGTGGGCATCTGAAACTCTTCAGGCCGTCCTACACCTGCAAATAACGTCTTCAAAAAATTCCAATTTTCAACCACTAATTGCTAGACTCATTACGAATACAAAATGCTTACTTTCTGGTTTATCAGCCAAACTTTTTGCTATATAACACAATTTTAGCACAGACGATAAAAATTTAACACCTCTCAAATTGTTCAAAAGAACTCTTAACTAGTTGTTGGCCAAAGAAAGAAAAATCTCTTTTAGTCATATTCCCATAATACTCATTACCTTTAAATGTTTTACTTTAAAAAAAGCAATTCTTTTATTCTGTATAAGTCCAGTGTGCACGTCATAGAGACTAAAGATATATGTTATTTGAAAGCCCCTTGGAAGGTTTATAATAGTATCACTAAAGCAATGACTCTAAAATATTCTTCTATAGTTAACGTCCATAAGATCTATTTTTTTGTGCCGGGCCACAGTAGATTAAAGTGATAAAGGCTCTTCAAAAATTAACTTCATTAGCCACGAAACTCTAATGAACACAATTTAATGAGGAAGATGAACAATAAATATACCAACTTTTTCCAGGAACACCAATTTCAGGTATTACAGAAAGCTGGTTTGATGTCGTATCACCGGGAACGTTTGATTCTGAATTCTTTGCTTGCTTCGCAGCTGCGCTCATTGCTGATCTAACCATTTCAATGTCGTCAAATTCCTTAGCTCGTTTTAGAATATGAAGAGAATCTCCTTCAACACCTACATCAAGTTCCTCCCTCGCTTTACTCGTATTGCTAGCCTGAACTCCAAAAATGCTATAGGTACAACTATTCAATTCAGGAATACTGAAGAACTGAATGCTTTATAAAAATATCAACCAAGTTGATTAATCCATATATTACCAGCAAGTTAAACAGATCTGAAACAAACTTTTCGATGAGAACGTCGTCGACTTTGATAAGAGCCTTCACCCCTTCGGTCAGGAATGATATCAACACCGACGGATTCCAACGCATCGTCCAGAGCTTCTTGAGCCCTGTTAATTCAAGAAGGTTGTACTGCAACGTGTGAAAGAAAAACAAAAGCGAACAGTAAACAAAAAAAAAAAGACGAGCATAAGACAATGACAAAGCTGTTTTAACATAACATTAGAGAGCAGAGATATGTGGTAACACCAAAGGTACACACATTTCATGCAGTTCCTAATCAAAGCTATTACTAAGTGACTTTTATTTGGAAATTCGGTGATCAGTACTAAAGAAGGCGCTTATATAAAAACTTCATCTGCTATGGTGCTTGCTTGTAATTGTTTCAGATTGGACTTTTATTAGCATAAGACTGTAGCATCACCAGAGCGTATTATTCACGACTGTGCCGCCGTTTTTTTGTCTTCATAGTTTTAGGGTGCACATAACAAATACAATAAAAGTGAAATTATGCATCTTACACAAAAACGTTTCTAGCAGAATTTTCCTAGGACCGCTATGACAAATTACATTACAACTCTCTAATATCTAGAACTGCAACAACACAACTTTTTCATGATTCACCAATGACTTGATAAAAAAAGCGAATTCTGTGTATCGAAAAAATTACCAGGTTTTCCTGTGCCGAATTCTAAAAAATAAAAGTTAAAATATTTCTGCAGCTAACCAGTGTTTTTGCAACACAATCTCCTTGTGAAATCTTACAAAATGAACGAGAACAATGTTTTTAAATTAAGGCTGACTTAAAGAAAAGTCTTCTGCAATATAACGAAAGATGAAGTTTGCATAAAATAATACCTTCTAACGGGTGCTCTTATTCGTTCAGCTGCGCGATGGCTGAAAAGTCGAGCTTGTAAAAGTGTAAAATCCTTATTCCGTTTGACAACACTCCACTTGAAAGCGCCATGTTCCAATTCAACTGTATACCTACAAATGTTGACAAAAAATATGAAATACTTTCTTAAATTTTTTGTAGTAAAATGGCAACTCAAGCAAGGTGTTTCCATTCTGCCAAACTGCCACTTCCTTCTCTAAATGAAAGAATGATAAACAAATATCCGCCAGCTTTCGATAACACATGGCTATATAAGAACAAGAATTTAAGCTTTAAATTTAACTGAAAATTCGGCTTTGCTGAAAAAATGCATTACCACCAGAAAAATACGAGTACCAAACTTGAAAGATTTTAGAAATTAGAAGTGGTCAGCCAAGTGTCATTAACAAGACGTGAATGAAGAAGTACGTAGGGATAGCCTACGCGAAAAGCACTAAACCAACTTCTAAAGTCAGTGGTCGCAAACATAAGGCAGGAAAAAGACTTGTGACTCTAAAACCCCACATGTTCTGCAGAATGAAGCTGATCAAAAACTTCAGGTACATACACTCAGTAGAAAAACTGAAAGACGATCGCTCACTTTTGACACAAACTGTGACTTTCAAAGCAACAATTTGAACCACAAAGCACAAGTGAACATGAATTTTATCACAGTGTCCAAATCCTTCGATCCAATTTACCACAAATGAAATTTATCTTGTGAAAACCCCACATAACTTAACTTCTGACAGGACATATTGAAGATCTTCAATGCTTCTTGAATCTCAATGTAAAGTTAATCTTCCAAGGGAAACAGAAAAAACATGACTATCCCCCCCCCAATTTGAATTCCAAGCACTGTGAAAAACTGACACTCTTTTCCAAGAACCATCAGTGATATTGAATCTTCTAAAATTTCAAGATTTTTTTTTCTTATACACCCAGCCACAATAATATTCAAAAATTAATAAATACAACGTAACATTTCTCCAATTCCTGAAGTTTTATCAAATTTATAAAACGTCCATTCAAACAGGCACTGTTGCCCTCAGCCGAAACTTCCTCAAAAAAAGAAAAAATCCATTAAATCTTAGTATTATCACACACCACGCATTACTTTCCCATTATAAACCTGCACGGCGAAAAAGAAATATTTAAGAAGTGAAAGGGAACGACCGAAAACAATCTTTTCTGTTTTCAAAAAATTAGATGACGTGAAAATAATTCCACCAGTTCATTTTCACAATTACACTGTAACCAAGCAATAGCAACAGACACTCGAAAAAATTTTGATACAGATCCATTCAAAAACAAACTTATCTTCTCAGTTTCTCAAAAAACAGATCTCTATGCCTTACCGACCCTTCTTTTCTCACCCACAGCTTTCCAGATACCTCTAAAATTTTACACATGGGTTTTCATGCCAAAAATCTACAAAAGCATGTTTGTCACTCACAGCTTGATGGTTAAGGAAACTATGTAGTCGTCTCACTCTCACTGACAATCTCAACAAAAAGCATCCCCACTTTTCATTTTCTCGGTAATTGCTCGTTCCCTCGTTACCTCTGCGTTATCATAAGCTTTGTCAAGAAAACACTGTAATTCCATTTTCAAAGCGCACATGGTCCAGCAGCTGACCCCCGTCTAAAAATTAGACTACTAAAGCCTTTTTTTGGCTAAAAGCAATCCATAAAAAAGCACCTTTGTGTTAACTCTGCTGATTTTCCCTGAGTAATTGAGAATTCAGCCGTTTTACAGAATGAAGTGTTCAGTTCTACTGTCTTACCCAGCTTCGTCTTCGGTCTGAACTATATCGAAAAAAAAATAACTCTGCTTCTAAGTGAGCTTTAAAAACCTAATCAAAAGGCTTTTTATGCATTCACACAACGTCTTACTTATCAGAAGGTTATCAAATTAATTTAGAGTCTATACGCAGACCATCTTCCAACCTCAAACCTTTTGTCAGCGTCTTATTGAAAGTAAGTATAGATAATTACTAAGATATGCTACTCTCTATTGATAAAACAAAACTCTTTCATAACTGAATGTCTGTTTCCTAC